TTTGGGGGAAACAAGTGAGAAATAAAAGAAGAAGAAAGAAGGAAAACTGTTAGGGAAAGGAAGATGGAAAATATATTCCAATATTTACAATATTTGAAAGCAAATGCTGTAACTAAGAATTCCTCAACTATCTTTACTTGCATAATAAGGCTTTTGTGATTGTCACACAAAGAAACAAAAAATTTACAAGCCTCTAAGAGCAAATACGTATTAACAGAAAAGTCTTTCAAAAGATATGTAAAACCAATACCCTATAAAATTCTATCCCAATTGAACTGAAAAAACATGAAAACTTTGATCTCTCTCAACCAAATAAGCTGCTTTATATCTTGGTACTAGTCACCACTTTCATTGATTACATTTCCCAATTTAGCATGCCTGCTCCATTATGTTCAAATTCCTTCTCTCTATCGATTCATCATTCCATGATCATTTGACGCTGAACCACACTGTGACATGAAGATGCAAGCATTAATATTACAAATAACAGTGATGATGCTAATTAAAGAAGAAAGTAGGAGATAGTAATATAGCTCAGATGCTAGCTCACCAAGGAAATGTGGAAACCAGAAGACTCAGCACTTGTTTCAACAGGCAAAAGTTTCTTCTTGTTAGAAGTGCCTCAATGAAAATTCTGCCCTTGAACTATAAAAAATGGTCCTTTACTGTTTTTCCCTTAAGTATATTCTCTTTTGATGAGTGACAGAAATTGTAAATTCTCAGCATAAATAGGAAGCCATTGAACTGGTAAATCAACTCTGCATATTAAAGTAAATAACAGGATCACTGCATCAGAATCATACATATCTCAGACACATCAATATAGGTGGTACTTTGTACTTGCACATTCTTTTCACACTCCTAATCACATAAAAACCATACATATCTTTTTGTTTACTACTCTCACACAACATGTGTACTAAAGTATTCTTATCCTCAACTCGACCATATATATCGGACATATCAACAAATGAGGTACTTTGTACTCTTCGGACTTCCCAACACTTCTAATCACATTAAAATTATACATTCCTTTTTGGTTTGTAAGCATTAACAACTATTTCCAAAATCCAGATTACAAACAATCAACAATATAAAAAGCAAAGAACGCAACAAGCACACACAAACAACATGATATACACGTTTGGCCGAACAGCCCTACAGCCAAATATGATGTTGGTTTCACTCTACGAGAAAAATATGTGTTACAATACATTCGGAATTCTCTCACAATAGCCAAGTGTTGCAAGCTCACTGAATCTCAACCAAATTCAATCATAGAAGGTTATCTATACCAAGTATAAAATCTAGACTCTCTACAATAAGCTCTCTTCTGTCTCTACACTTTTTCTCTCAAGACTTGTCTCTTGACTTGTCTAAGAAGGCGATAAAACCTAGGACAAAGACAGTTTAGCACTTAATGACTAATATTGGCTAAATTTGAACATGTATCAAGAATGACATATTCTATTAGATAACGATTAAGAGCAAATATATCAAAATTGGGTGCAAACGGGTGAGAAATAAAAGAAGAAAGAAGGAAAACTGATAAGAGATCAAAAAGGAAAACAAATATTTACACTGTGCTGTTTATTGTAGATTATATTTACAACGTACCGTGAGTGACAATAATTTCCAGAATTTTTATTCCTTACTAGTAACATTTATACTTCTATCTCCATTGAACAACTGAAATTAAATACATGAAAAACTTAAATTTCTCAGCAGAATTTACCACTATGTTTGAATTCCTTCCTTTAACATTTCATGATTCCATGACCATTGGATACTGAAGCACTCTGTGACAAGAAAAAGCTGGTATTATATATAGGATTACATATGACAGGTGATGATGCTAATTCAAGAAGAAAATAGGAGATAGAAATATAGAGCTCACCAAGAAAATGTGAAAACCAGAAGATTCAGCACTTGTTTCATCAGGCAAAAATTTCTTCTTGTTACAATATAAGTGCCTCAATGAAGTTTCTGCCATTGAACTATAAAGAATTGGTCCATCATTGCTTTGTCCTTTTGTATTTCCTCAACTAATGAGTGAAAGAAATTGTAAATTCTCAGCATATACAGGAAGCCATTCAACTAGTAAATCAACTCTGCATATTAAAGTAAATCAGAAAATCAAAAACACAACACTGAAATGTGCTTTCTGTTTGAACATCATTGATGCATGCCTATTGGATTAGTCAGAATGCACAAAGATTAGTGACAAAGCATAACCAACCATTGGTTGAGTTTTGACAACTACTCTCGTAACGCCATTCTTCTTCTCTTCCAAAACCCCAAAAACTGATGAAATTTTGAAATTAAAAACAAAAAATTACATATTTTTTAGTATTTATACAAAGAAACAATTATTTAAAATATTATCAGGAAATTGATGTATGAAAAGTGGGAAAGAGCATCCAAGTCTTTTGGTCCTCAATTTTCATCCTTCCATCGAGAGTACACAAGGAAATTGAGGCCTCCCTTAGAGCTTTCTTATGGTCCGGGTCGGATTTGAAGAAAACTAAAGCAAAGATTGCTTGGGAAGATGTATGTGTTCCAGAGGAGGAACGTGGTCAAGGCATTATGAGAACTAAGGAATGGAACAAGGCAGCTATGATGAGGCATATTTGGAACATTGCCCAAATTAATCCCTCCTCGAGATGGGTCTCTTGGATCAAAACTTTTCTACTTAAGAACAAGAGTATTTGGGAAATTTCCATTCCCTATGATTGCTCTCGGACATGGAGGAGCATCCTTAAGCTTAGAGGTGAGGCTAGGTTGAGAATCAATTGTGAGGTTGGTGATGGGAGACATATCCGACTTTGGCATGATAATTGGCCCAATGTTGGCCCGCTTGCCCTCAAATATCGTCCTCGAATTATTTATGAATCTGGTTTATCTAATGATGCTTGAGTTAGTGAGATTTGCGATCAAGGTGAGTGGAAGTGGCCGGCTGCAAGCTTTTGGGTGTTGTTGGAAATGAAAAGGTTGGTTAATTTCAATCCCACCATGAGGGAGGATAGAATTGTTTGGATCCCTTCTATGACTAAGGGTTTTTCGATTAGTTCGGCATGGAATGAAATAAGGATGAGGAAAGCTAAGGTTGATTGGTCCCATCTTGTGTGGTTCACAAAATCAATTCCAAGACATGTTTTTATTCTTTGGATGGCTATTAAAGGGAAGCTCATCACAAAGGATAAGGTTGAGAGGTACGACATTTCACATAGCTCTTGTTGTTGTTTTTGTAATTCAGCCCAAGAAACCTTGGATCATCTCTTTTTCTCTTGCCCTTTCTTTAAGTCTATTTGGAGTCGGATCCTTGCCATTAGTTCTATGGGCTATAGGGCGGTGCCTTGTAATGCTTATATTCATGGCTTATCCTTAAATTGGAAGAAAAATAAGCTCAAGTAATTTTTGGCAAAGTTGTGTTTCAGTGCCACTATCTATTGGATTTGGAGGGAAAGAAACAATAAGGTGTTTGGAGGGGAGTGTAAAGATGCGCTAACCATCCACAATATCATTAGGTTAGTGGTAAGAGATAGGGCCATGGAGCTAAGGAAGATGAAGAGGACCACGGGAAATAGAAGCCTTGTGCAAATTTAGGGGTTACCGATGTCTATTTTTTATGGGTGATCACTTTGGGTTTTGTGATCTTGGTGGTGGTGGGACTTTAGCACAAATTGGTTATTGAGGTTCTTCTTATTTGGGCATTGTCTTTTAGCTTCCTTTGGTTATGTTCCTAACCCAGGGTATGTCCCGAGGTAGGAAGAGATTTTGTGTATATACATAGTCTTGTAAAGGCTATTGTTTTTTGGGTACTAACCCAAGAGATTGTCCTAAGGTAGGCTGGCCGCCTTTTATAGGCCTTTTGTACATTCTTTTTCTCTTCTCTAATGAAAGCTTACTTATCCAAAAAAAAGAAGTGAGGTTGTGACCTTAAGGAGTACAGACACAGTTATACAAAATGTTTCCCAATGTTGAGATAAAGTAGAGTTGCTGCGCTTGAGATTGGTGTAGGAGCAGAACGTGTTTCTTGAAATAGGAAATGCTGAATGTCCAGTTTGCAGTTACACCCAGCATGATACAACAGTCTGTGGAGAACAAATTTCTTAACACAGGTACTTGCCTCACTGCATCAAAATTAACATATCAAAATCAAGTTGTCTTAGGGAAAACATGGCCTCACAATGTCTTACTAAGTAAAAATAAAAGGAAAACAAACCTAGAATGAGTCCCCGAAGATTTCATAGAGGAAATTTAGTGTAATTAGATAACCTTCCTGATTAAAGCACAATCCAACAGTAAGAGAAAGCAAATGAAAGATTTGAGTACAAAAATAATAATAATAATAATAATAATAATTTAGGATTTGAAAACGTGCCTCTTGTCATTTTCTCGAAATATTGTTCTAGAAATTGGTGTCGGACAATGCTCTGTTTTCAGTTTTACTAATTCACAATAGCCCTGAAATTCCTGGAAATCCTTGATGATGGAAGCTCACCAAATTCCAAATGTGAAGACCTGGGAGTGAGCACTTGTTTCAACCTGCAGATAAAACTGTTATATACTCTATAATTAAACATCACGAACAAAAATTAAATCAGCATTGAGAAAGCATAACTAACCATTCATCGAGTTCTTTCGACTACACTCATAATGCCATTCTTCCTCTCTTTCATAACGCAAAATGCTGCACTACAAATAGAAAATCTTTCATAACGCAAAATGCTGCACTACAAATAGAAAATAAGGAAAATATCTGTAGAAAATTGAAATATGAAAAGTGGGATTATGACCTTTAAGAAGTACAGTACTTTGAGGCCTGTCAAATTACCAGCATGATAGAAAATTCTGTAGACATGATTTAATGTCTGGTTTCAAAAAGCTGAAAGAGAAGAAATGCTTAGTAGATATAGGGAAGTTTTGGTCAAGCAAAGGGATGCAACTAGAGCCTCAATCTGGCAACTTCTGTGATATATATATATATCATTTTTAACCTTGATTCTTCAGAAAATTCATGACATCTTGCCTCACTGAATCAAAAATAGCATATCAAAATCAAGTTTTATTAGAGAGAACATGGTTTTCCAATGTCCTGAAAAGTAGAGAGAGAACTAGAAGCAAACCTGGAAAAAGTTAACAAAATTTTAAAGAGGTCATCCAGTGTAATTTGATGAAATGAAGAAGAACAGAAAGCAGCATTGAGAAAGCATAACCAACTATCAATCAAATTCTTTCAACTATTTTCTAATGTCACTCCTCCTCTCTTCCATAACGAGAAATGCTGCATTGAGAAAATAAATATTTGATGAACTTTGAAACTATAAATTGAAATTTATATGCCTTAGTTAAAAAGTCAAAAAGAGCTTAAACATTATCGGAAAATTGATACATGAAAAGTGGGTTATGATCTTCAAGAAGTAGGGATACACAAGATATTTCCTGGTCTGTAAATGTTGTCCTACATGATACAAAGTTCTGTTAACCCAATTTGATGCCTTATTTTACTAAGATCAAGCAGTGCTAATGTCTTAACATAGGTAACTTTTGGTCAAGAAAAAGAATGCAACAAGAACCTCAATCATAGGTAACTTCTTAATACATCACATTTCAACCTTGATACTTGTGCAAATTCAAGACATCATAAACTTTCCTCTCTGCATCAAAATTAACATATCAAGATCACGTTTAACAGAATAGAACATGGATTTTCAACCATTATTAATGCTGTGATGTTCAATCTAGTTTAAACATCCAAAAAAGAAAAAAAAAAAAGAGAGAGAGAACTGGGAAAGCATGACCAATTTTATTAGTCCTCTTGCATATATAATCTCCTATATTTATCCCTTCTCTCTTCCATATTTGTTCTGGGGTAGAAATTTGCATGCCTTAGTATAAAAAGTAAAAAAATTGCATAAACATTATCAGAAGATTAATCAATGAAAAGTTGTGTTATGACTTAAAAGTATGGACATCTCCCATAGAAAATACTTCCAGGTTTGTCCCTTTTTTTCAGCATGATAGAAGCTCTGTAGATGAAATTTAATGTGTTGTTTGAAGAAATTCGATGGAATTTTAAACTTGATTCACTGCATCAAAACTAACATGAAAAGGTCAAGTTTGGTTAAGGAGCAAACTAGAAGTATTAAGAAACAAACGTACCTCGCTGAACTATCCTAGTAATTCATAGATGGAATTCTATGAAATTGGAGAAGCTCCCTGACATAAGAGAAAGGCATTGACAGTTATTTAACAGGGTAGTTCAACATCATCCTTTGAACTTGTTTTGGGAAAATGCTCTGTTTAATTGTTTTACTTGATGAAAAAGAAAATACTTTATAGAAAACTCAAAATATAACATAGTGCTTGAGAAGAAAATGATTAACTTTTCCATTTGAACTGTTACATAATTTTGGCTCATGGAGTTCTTCAAAAAGCAATAAATTTTGAGAAGTTGCTGAAGGAGTTCTTTTTCAAAATTTCAAAATTTAATATATCACTAATTAATATTAATAATAAATTTTAAAGTTCCCGTATAAAAATTCAAAGAAAAAACAAAATCTAAGCATGATGAGATTACATGGACAGCTAAGACTACACCGAGAGGATACTGCAGATGTTCCAAACAGATGGAGGTGCATCGCTGATTATTTCAACAAGTACTTTGATCAAGAGAGAAAAAATAAAAAAATAATTAAAGCGATGAAATATTCAATCACAAATTGGACGAAACAAAAGGGAAAGAAAAAAAATTACCTCTCATTTTCCCCTTCAAGGGTGGCCTAACATAGGACAATCCTCAATGGATATATCCAATGTTGTATTCTGAACAAGGTGGTTTGGTAGTGCCTTCAATTTGGGGCAGCCATCAATTTTGAAAGAAAAAAACCATTCAATCAATAGCAAAAACTTAAGTGTTTTAAATTTGGGAAAGAAAATAAATCACGAAGATATGCCATTACTTTCCATTCCCAAAAATTCATTACTCTTTCCCCACTCTCCATATGCCGTGTCTCTAAAGATTCAAGGGATGACAATTTTTTCAAGAAAGGTAAATGCTTACAGTTTATGCAATGACAAATTCTTAAGTGCCTGAGGTTGGTTAAGGACATCATGCAGTCGGCGAAAATAGTGTTGCCTCTGTAATTCCATTGCCGTAATTTCTCCACATTCAATGGTGGATGTAAGATTTCAATAAGTGATTTGTCATCGTCATGGATTAGAAGAGTTTATGTTCATTCCTTGTAACAAAAAATGCTGTGATATACTTTCGAATTAAACATCAAGAAATGAAGAAAGAAGAGAAAGCAGCATTCAGAAAGCACAACCAACCATTGATCGAGTTCTTTTGACGCTATTCCTCCTTTCTTCTATATCTCAAAATGCTCCACTGCGACAATAAACGTTTGAAATCTGAAGCGATAAATAGAAAGTTGATGTATGAAAAGTCTTAAATAAACATTTATGACCTTCAATTTTTATAGATAACAAATGTTTTAAATCAGGAAACTTCTAGTCAAGAAAAAGAATGCAACGAGAACCTCAATCTGGAAACTTCTTCATACATCATATTTCAACCTTGATTCCTCAGAAATTTCATTATATCTTAATGTTTCGCCTCTGCATCAAAATTAACATATCAAAATCAAGTTTATTTGAAAGAAGAAGGATTTTCAATGTACCCACTAAGTAGAGAGATAAGCAAGGAAACAAACCTATCTCAATGAGTCATCAAAGGATTTCATAGAGGGAATCCACTGTAATTTGAGAAGCTCCCTGATAAAAGAGGTATCCAACAGTAAGAGAAAGCATATTATAGATAGAATCAGTTTTGAATAAAAAGTAAAGATTTTACTGAACCAGTAATGATGTTGTGATGTGCGGTCTTGTTTAAACATATAGCCCAATATGTTTGCGGTTGTAAGGGGCGTATCTAGGAATTTTTTCTTGACCGGGCTAAATTTTCAAAAATCTAGGCCTAGCCCACTCTATGTTCCGCCCTTGGTGGCTGTAATGGATTGTGGATAATGATGGTGTTGGAGTGTGCTGGGTGGGGGAGAGGGTGTGCTTGGATGGGGAAGGGGGCAGTTTGGGGACAAGATAAGAGGCTGTTTGGTGAGTGGGTAGGTTAACGTTGCTGGGCATAGGGAGGCAAGGGTATTAACATCATTTAAGACGTGTCTATCAAAACTAACGGCAAAACACTGACGGTACTGTAGGGGGTCTTGGTTAATATCAATACCACAAGGGCTTTTATTCAGACAAACTTCAGGGAGTTTTACTTGATGATAAAAGAAAACAAAGTGTATATATGAATAAATCAAAAAACTTAGGAAGATCTAACCATCCTGAGGTTGTCTTCAACAATCTTCTCCCCCTTATACAAGACTGGTGATGATGGATGACCACCATTATACGGAAGAGTATATGGGAGATGTTCCAAACAGACGGAGGGCCATTGCCTGTTCAAATTCTTCCTATCTATTCATCATACCATGATCATGTGATGCTAAAACACACACTGTGACATAAGATGTAAGGATTAGTAGTATTTAAAGGATTACAAATGACAGTAAAGATGTTAGTTGTAAAAGAAGAAGGAACTATGAGATGAGAATATAGACGAGATATGCTACTCACCAAGAAAATGTGAAAACCATAAGATTTAGCACTTGTTTCACCAGGCCTGTCGTTTTTTTCCGGTAGGATACAAAGTTCTACAGAGGAAATTTGATGGCTAGTGTCAATATGCTCAAAGAGAACAAATGTCTAAACATAACAAGATAAACGTCAAAGAGACCTCAAAGATTTCAAAGAGGGAATCCAGCGTAATTGGAGAGACTCCCAGACAAAAGATAATCCAATAGTTAGAAACTAAAATGCTAACTAATCTCAATACCCATAAACAAGATCTGACTGTCATGAGATTGTCTTCAAGTAAAGCAGCAATGACGGCAGCTATGAATGGAAGAGCCTGTTGGAGATGCTTCAAACAGATGGAGGCGCATTCCTGATTATTTGCATCAGAAATCTCTCTAAAAAGAAGAAAAAAAAAATTGAAGTGATTATCTATTCCGTCAGAAATTGGATCGAATAAATGGATTGATAAAAAGAATAAGAAAAATTACCTCTTATTTTAGAATGAAGGGTAGCCTAGCAGAGGACAACGCCAAATATCTTTCGTCAATGTTGTATTCTGAATAAGGTGGTTTGGCAGTACCTTCAACTTGGGGTAGGAACGAAGTACCAAGGAAACGAGAGACGACATTATTGTAATTTCCTCTTCTTCTCCTATTCTTGTAATCTCATATTCCCACTCTTCCCATTCAGTCATAAAATTAGAAGTGAGACTTTTCAATTTCGGGAAAAAGATAAATGGTGAAGATGTGCCATCACTTTCTATTCCCAGAAATTCATTACTCACTCTTTTCAAACTGCTCATAAACCTTATATTCAAAGATTCAAGGGATGGCAATTTTCCAAAGGGAGGCAAATGCTTACATTTTATGCATTCATGGAGTAGTAAGTCCGTGAGCTTAGTTAAAAACATCATCCAGTTGGGCAAAATAGAATTGCCTCTGTAATCAACTAGCAATAACTTCTCCAAATTTAAAGGTGGTTGTAAGATTTCAAGAAGTGCTTCCTCATCCTCATTTATTCTCTCTCCTCCATCTTTTCTAAAATCCAAAGACAAATGAAGGAGGTTTTTCCGATTCTTGAGCTCTAATCTTCTAGCCTCATCAACATTTGATACATTTCCCAACTTGTGTATACGCAAATCATCTCCATATAGGTTAATGTTTTTCAAATCTTCAAGGCTGCATGCTTTGTCATCATTACTACCAACTCCACTCACAATGAACAACTTTAAGGTTAAGAGATTAGTCAATTTTTGAATTCCTACTGGTGTATCTTAATGACCAAACCTCGTCATTTTCTAAATGCCTTAGATTTATTAATTTTCCAATCCCTTGAGGTAATTCTTCCAGTTTTTGACAGAGTCAAAAACTGATGTCTAAAGTTTGCAAATTATATGATCCACATAATTCTTCAAGAAGTTTTCTCATTTCTAGTTCTTTCAAATCAAGATATCTCAAATGTATCAATTTTCCTATCTCCTTCGAAATGTTGTCGATATTATTTCCAAATTGCCTCACTCTTCCACCAATACTTAATGCCTTTAAATATGTCAATTCATCAAATAATTTTGGTATGATATTACAAGGCAATGAATGCTTAAAATCTTCAAGATCATGTAAAAAACTATGCAACCTTTTGAGACTACAAATTGAATCAGGAAATGGAATCCCTTCATCAAATGTTATCATCAAGTGATAAACTTGCTCATGATAAGAGTTTATGTTTGGCTCTTTAAAACCATGAACTTCTATGTGGAAACATTCATTCTTACTCAGGAAACGAGCAAAGTCATGTACTAAATCGTGCATCTTACATTCAAAGATATTATTGTGATGGTCTTTTTTAAATTCTTGGAAGAATGAGCGTGATGCTAAGTAGTCAAAATACTCTTGACCAACTATCTCCATTACTTTATTTCCTTCTTTAAGATAATCTTGAGCCATCCATAATTTAATCAAATAATCTTTTCTTATGTTATGGTCTTTCGGAAAGATGGCACAATATGTGAAACATCGTTTTATCTTAAAAGGCAAATCATTATAACTCAATAGTAGAGGACCAAAAATATCTTTTTCACACTCTTCAAGTTTCCACAAATCACTATCAAAAATATTTTGCCACTCTTCTTTAGTTTTTTTAAAGCGCAAAAGACTACCAATAGTCTTTGTAGCAAGAGGCAAACCCTTGCACTTGTTTAAAGTTTGCTTGCCGATCTCTTCTAGATTTTCACACTCCTCTTCAGACCTACCAAAAAATGCTAATCGCCTAAACAACAACCATCATTCTTCATCGGGCAATTCTTTGACAACAATAACGTCAATTGATACCATCATACATACCACTGATTTCTTACGTGTAGTAATTAAAATTTTACTACCATGGAGACCATTCTTCAAACAATAATATAATGGCTCCCATTTGTTGTAGTCATTTGACCACGCATCATCCAAGATAAGCAAAAGTTTCTTTCCAACAATAGATCTACTAATACGCTGAAAAAGGGATTCCAATTCACCTAAATTCGAAGCAAAACCTTCTAAAGCCTCAATGATTGCTTTGGCTATCCTGTATTCATCAAAAGGTTATGACACACACAGCCACATTACTTGATCAAAGTTGTTTATCACTTTATTGTCTTTAGAAGCAAATTGAGCAAGAGTTGTCTTGCCGATTCCCCCCATCCCTATAATAGAGATGATATGGGGGTGTTGCTCACTACTCTCACACAACATATGTACTAAAGTATTCTTATCCTCAACTCGACCATATTTATTGGACACATCAACAAATGAGGTACTTTGTACTCGGTCGAACTTCCCAACACTTCTACTCACCTTAAAGTTATACATATCTTTTTGTTTCTCAATGTCATCTATTCATTGACTTCCTTTATTTTTATCGCAATGTCATGACGTAAGCTCATTTGTTTGAATGAAAAGCAAGAGGAGGGAAAGAAGAAATAAACCTTTTTCTTAGGAATAGAAGTAGATCCCTCAATTTGCTATTTCAACATGGCGTAGTTCCGCTCATCCAACACATCATCAATGTCGTAGGATGTGTGTTTGAGCCGATCTAACCAAAGTCTTACAGTTTTCTCCTTCACTTGTCTTTCCTCTGCATCATGGACCACTGCTTCAATAGCTTCAAGATTGCTCGTAAGCTTTTTGACTTCTTTGTCGACACCAACAACTAGCTTCACCTCCTGTAGTATTTGTTGACCAATGATTGAATTTAGCTGCCCCAAGACACCGGAAATAACTGCTTCAGCCATGATATCAGAGATGGTAACTGTTTGAATGATAAAAATGTCGGAGAGAATTGTGAGATATGAGATTTGCTTGTAAGTGTGAAAATGCTGATATGTTTTCAATTCTTTATAAAAAGTTATAATTCAAAGAAGGAACGTAAAAGATGATGTGAGTCGAATATGCTTGGCCCAACACTTGGTTTTTCTCAGTCACCAAGCAATCACCATATGATGTACTAGCAGTAATTAGGATGCTTTAAAGGTGGTTAAGGCATGGAATATAGCTTTATTTCCTTTTGGTAATTCATTTTCATTGCTTTGTGTTATTCCCATTTCTCAAAGTAAGAATCTGATGCGAGAGTGGAAAGCAAGTAAATGGAGATAAAAAAAAAAGATATTAATTCTGATTTATGACTTAAGAAAAAAATGCATTCTGATACTTTCCATAAGCAGCAAGATAACCCCTCAAAAGTACCTCAATTTTACTAAACGATCAATTACTACCCTTAAATTTCTAATTCTATTACATTACTGATATGTAGCTTGATTACAGAATAAATACTGCACAAGAAAGAATCAATATTGCACATGAAAGAAATTACAAAATAAAAAACATGATTCTGAGATGTGCTTCTATCTAAACATCAAGAAGTGAAAAAAAAATAAAGATTATTAGTGAGAATGCATTACAAACCATTAACTCCATATTAATTGAGTAATTTCAACTACTCTTCAAACCCCATTCTTCCTCTTTTCCTTAATGTAAAATGTTGCACTGAGACCATAAATGTTTAGCGGAATTTTAAACTAGATGTGTGTTTTGTTGGGGGTAATCCTTGATCATTGAGGTAATGTCATCTTATATTACTTGATTATTACGTTTGA